AGTAAACATACTCATATTTGCACTATTTTTTAGCTGAATAAAGCTTATTATGACTTAATGAATTAAAAACTATCTGTTACAATTACAGTGTCTATTACCGCTAATTTTACCTTACAGGTAAAATTATACACGCAAATTCTATGCAGACAACACAGAAACGGTAAAATAACAAGAAATGCACGAAAGTGAAAAAATATGACATTTTGAGACCTGCCTAAAAGAAATAGTTAAGGCAGTAATACTAGGTATTCAGAAGCTTCCGAAAAAAAATAAAAAGTAGGGAAAAAAATAAAAAAGAAAGTTCTCAGCCAAGTAAAAACTGGTCAGGCTGCTTTGGATGATAATGAAATATGGCATTTTAACGGTATCAAAAGAAGATATATTAAACAGAAAGAACTTTTCCAGTAGCAAAGAACCCATGGACCACACTGAGGACCTAAACTCATAAGAGGCTCATAAACCAGAACTACTGCATATGGAAATAGTTACCAGGAAATATAAAAAAATTAAACAAGAAAGATCCCAGGGGTGGTCTTACTTAAGATAAGTAAATTAAAAAATATAAAAACACAGTAATATCTATATACAATAAGGCAGGGAACCCCAAACCAGGCTTCTCCCTCCAACTATAGAAGGAAAAGCAGGACTCCAAGATATCGCTGCGCTACTATATCAACCGCGTCACTGGTGCTAAAGCCAGTGGATTTTGAGCGAGAGCGTTTTAGCCACATACACTCATGTCTTGAGTGGAGAATCTGGCCAATCCCAGAACTCCAAGATATATACTACAAAAGATCTCTGGGCCACTGCCGCTTCAACCTTCGAGGAGGATTGTAGGGATGAGTGGAACTAGATAGGGATTGTGCTAGGGGATTTGGATGATTTATAAGGTTTTGATGGAATTTGGAAAAGTTTTTACAAATAAGGTCGAGGACAAATGGGATATTAAGGTCATGATGTAGGGTTTTGTTGGATACCTAGAACAGGGCATCGACTATTGTTCGGAGAATTTTTGATTGAAAGGATTGGATGCGTTTGATGTTAGAAAATTTTGCTGTTCCCCAAAGTTCAAGTCCGTAGGTCCAAATAGATTTCAGGATTGCCTTGTAGATCAGTAATTTGTTGTCAATTGAAAGTTGAGATTTTCTAGTCAGTAGTCAGTACAATTGGCTGTATCGTTGATTAAGTTATAGTCTTTTAAGTTTAGTATGTGGGTCTTTTAAGACTAACGTGGAAGTCTTTGGTCTAAGGTAAAGCCAAGATACCGAACTGTGTATGAAAAAGGAAGCTGGATGGAATGAAATTGGACTGATGGACAGGAACTGCGCTGGAGTGTGAAGGTAATGTGTTTGGATTTGGATTCGTTTACTTTGATGCGCCATTTATTACACCAGTGCTCAATCAGGGAGAGGTGCCTTTGCTGATTTAAAGATGCTGTTTCGGTATCTGAGTTGGATGATAGGATGGCGGTGTCATTGCCAGGAAGGTATTGGGATGTACAGGGATAACAGCGGTAAAAAGAGTATAAAGGACGGAGCCCAAGACGCTACATAGAGGTACACCGGCTTCAACTGGGTAGGAGTTTAAAATCCTGTACCACAGCGAACCCGAAAGGTGCGATAAGAGAGGTAGGAGCGGAGGATTAGGTACAAGGACTGGGGCAGATGGGTTTTCACCTTGGATAGAAGCCCGGAGTGCCATACACGGTCAAAAGCTTTAGCTATGTCCAGATACGGTTTATTTAAATTTGTAAATTCCTTTTCTAAGAGCTGGTAATGCCCCTGTTAGAACACGATCTTTCAAGTTTGGTTCTGCCACCCCTTCATTTAGTGCTATAAAACGGTTTACTCAATTACAAATACCATACAATTGTAAATGAAAAAATGAAATAAAATGGATTTCTGTTAAGCTTTTCAGATCGAATAACATATCGTGCGATTGTCAAAAATAGGCGAGGATGTATAAGCCTATATTATGCGGTGAATGCCCCAGCTCTTAACCGACCCCAGCCTAGCCTCACACACCGGTCTGCTTACATCTTAAGACTAATAATTAAATTATATTTAAACTAATAACCAGCCCTCAGATCTGTTTACAGGTTAGTGAGAGGCAAAATTAGTAACAATTGTTCTAATTAGGCCTTGAAATCTTTTAGTTCAAACCCTTTTATTTTTATTTAATTATAGTTCATAAATACTTATGACATTTTGTAAAGCCCTAATAAAATATGTAAGGCTATTTCATCGATAAAACTATTTTATTTATTTATTTAGAAATTTAACAATCTGTCACGTGGACAATTATTATAGTGATATATGAACACATTCACACCATTAAATAAAAAATAAGAAACTAGTAATAAAATTCAATTATTGTGCAAAAAATACAAGAAAGCAAACGTTTACCTACAATAATAATAGACTTTTTAGCTTCTAATAAAAAAAATAATGTATTTTTTAAAGAATTGAATCAGGTTGATTTAGGTATTTCAATTAATTAAAAATAGTAATAGAGACGTACCCGCAACTCAGTGGAGCAGTATAGGATTAAGAGATCTGAAAAGAACCTTCATAGGACAAAGAAAAGATTGTGGCATAGCAAACAGCTGGAAAATATCGAAGAATTTAGGAAACAAAAAGAAATAACAACATTCTACCAGCTCATAAACACTGGAAGAAAACCTTTCCATCCTCGGACAAGTTCTTATAGAGGCTTAGATGGTAATGGTAACGGAAAAGGAAATGGTAATATCAAACGTTCCACGAATCCTGAGTAGATGGAAGGAGCATTTTTGCTCTTTGCTGGATGGAAATGATATGAACGAGAGATAATTATCGAATGACCAGAGGATGACATTGAGCCTCCAGACGAGGATGAAGTCCGAAATGCTATCCAGATGCTTAGGAATAGCAAATCAGCCGGAACAGATGGATTGCCTGCAGAGATATTTGAGTATGATGGAGAGGAAGTCGTAAATTTTATGCACAATCAATTGGATGTTTGGCAACATGAGAAAATGCCCAATGAATGTAGTGAAACTATAATATACCACGCTAGACACGTTATAAAAATGTCTGAAGATCAAGACCTAAAAACATCCTCTTAAAACAAATCTTTGGCAAACGAAGAAGAGAAAGATGAAGGTTGCGGGGGATTGATGGCGTATCTGCAAATGCACGATCCGTGCTTGGGGTCCAGAACTGGGAGACGACAGCGCGTAATAGGAATGACGGGGTAAACGTTGCAAGAGGCCCTTGTCTCCACGCGGGACGTAGCGCCATACAAGAAGTAGAAGTTAATTAAAAATTAATAAACAAAATTGAATAAACTCCGTACTGTTGATATTTTTAAAAATAAATGAGATTTACGTTTATTATCACATTCATAGGAACATTATATTGCCTTGTGGTGCCAACAAGTATATAAGTTTACTGCTGATGTTAGTCTATCTGTAGTCGAAAAGAAGGATAATACATTTTTTTCTACTAATTAGCTTGGGTTTAATTGATTCACTTTTGAACGATTTCACTGATTTTTTCAATATCAATTTATGTGAACTTTGAGAAGGAACTGCAATAATAAGGTTATTGTCTAATTATTTGTTGTTTTGTATTGTAACTAAGATTAAGAAAGCACTGGAAACAAACCAAACTCTACTCTCTTTTGTTTCCTAAGCAGATGACTAATTGATATTTTAGCATGTGCATGTACTCTTACATCTTATTGTATCTTGACTATCTTTGGATGTGGCATGCCATAATATTGTATATAAAATAAGTATCTTTTTTTAGTTATTTGTATTATCTTTATTATCTTAAATATCTTTCTTTTTTTTAACTTTAATTGTATATAGTAATTATGTTTGAGTTCCCTCCTTTTCCTTGTATTTTATTTCTTTTTATTGTACATAGTATTAATTCTGTAAATATTTCTTTTTGTAAATAGATCTGTTAACCTTTTTGCTGCTTTATAAAAATTATCCAACCTAACCCCTTCTCACCTGAGCTAGCATGATAGAGTAAATATGTAATGATGGCCATTAAAGGGTAAGTACTTTCTGTTTTCTAATTTATCTCTTTAGAGATGAAAGGCTGTTAAGCCAGGCGCCCAACAAATAAAAATTGCTATGGAAAATTATATTTATTAAAAATTATTTTATTATATTTTTATTTTATCCTTTTTTTGGTCATAGTATTAGCCGATAAATATAGAACAGATCAAACCAATGAAAGATTAAATTAAATGAAAATATTTTTAGACTTTTTCCCAACAAATGAGGGTTCCTGAGCCACTGTGCACGGAGGTAAGGAGCAGGCTCAACCGGTAGTTTTCCCTTTAAATTATGGGTAGAACCATTTTATAGAGGCTCAAATGAGTCATCCGAATCAAATGAAAGAAAAATTTTCCACAGCCGAACTGGAACCTGGGCCTGGGATATAGGACATAATTTACCTTAATCACTAAAATATTTAAAAATAAAAGGAAAAAAATAATACACACTTGACCAAAGATTTTGTTTTTGACTTTTTCTGTTTATTGCAATTAATAAAAATGTTTAAGTCATATTTAAACAGAGGAATGTATACGTATACACAAAGAAATATATGCTAAAATTTCCATTTTCAAGATTTTTAAATATGACAGTCAATTATTTCTACTATACAGCAGTTTCCAAAAAAAACAAAAAAGAAAACATTTAAGTTTAGTATAATTTAGTAAATATACTGACTAATAATAATAATAATTAAAAGTTAAATATATAAACTGAAAAGTTTATTACAAAATGTTGGATTGTATCATAAAATTAAAGATAAGATTTTGCAACCATTATTGGTTGTAAACCATCAAAATTGGAATTCCTGGTACAGAGTAAAAACTTACAGGCTGTACCTCATCTCATTTTAGAATTAGCTTAAAATATTGTAAAAACAATTTAAGACTCCCAATACTAATATTGACATTAATTACGTTCGTAAAATCCATGGCTTATGGGTGTAGAAGAAAATTATATTCATACACACTTTTAACTTTCATAATAAAACAGACTTTTATTTTAAAAAATATGGTTTTATTCTTATTAGTTGATTCTTAATTTGTTTTTAAATATTTCGATAAAAATACTATAGTATTTTATAAAAATATTTTGTCTATCAGGAAAAAAAGGTGAAAAATAATGGTTTTCCAATATTTTTGTATATGAAAATTTTTCAAAATGCAACAGTATTTCGTCCTATAAGCATAAAATATTTGTTAAATTTAAGATTAAAAATAAAATTCTTGTAAGCATCACTCATCGATTTCAATCATAGTGTTAGTAGAACTTGGTATTGAGAGGCTTAAAATGATAAATTTGTAATATTTTGTAAGTAGTCTTACAGTATTATTTGATATATATCAGTAGTTTTATAAATAAACACATCACCACTAATATTCAAAAATATCCATTAATTAAGAAATATTTATGGAATAATATTTACTGAACCAATAATAAATTATTATACAATTAATGTATATCATAAGGCAGTTTCGGTAAATGAAACTATATTTTACGAACAAGTGATACACTGTACTTTAGCAAGCTACTGAAGGGCGAAAGATTTTGGGAAAGGGGACCGCCTTTTATAACTGGACAAGGTATAATTTTGGATAAAGCATAGAATAAAATCACTCCTACCTCCAGAGTTGCTGTAATTACAATAATAAGAAAATCATTATTATTTCACTGCAGGAGCATTTATCTGTAGAAGATTAATTTTTGAATGAATTAGGAGCAATTGTGAAATTAGGAAATGGTGCAAGCCCCCACATTTCGCATCCGCTTGAGCTGCCGACTCCTTCGGCGAAGGAAATCGACCTGTGTTTTCTCTAGTTCCAAATCAAGCTTCTTTATCTCCTCTATAGCTTCCTTCAAGTTCACTCCCAACTCGATCAAGACATAAACCAAGAGGTATGCTCCTTCAACCGATTCTTCAATAGCAATGGAGACGTGTTCTTCCTCAGCAATAAAATGTTTCAGGTTCTTCAGGAATAGCTTGATGAGAAAACCATCGGGAATGGGGTCTGGAAAATTGATGACAAAGTCTGATATACCTTTAGCGAGGGAGAGCATGTAGTTCTGGGAATTATGATTGGGACGAACAATCGCACGAATGTTGTTTGATCGCAAGAAGGAAATATATTCAGTGTCATTAACATCTTCCGGAATATTGCTCATAAAGAAAGACAAATTCTTGTAGTCACATATCTTGTTTAATACTTGTTCACCTGTGAACTCTTCTATGATGGTAGGAAGGGTCGTCATTGTGGAATATGGTCAACTATTTGGTTAGGTACTGTTAAGGACTAAATCGGGGAAGAACTAAAAGAAAAAAGTTTATCATATCCCCTCTCGAATAAGCCGCCCCACTCCAGGAGGACTGGCGATAACTCTTGCTGACTTATACATCATCGTCCCAATAAAGTAGTGCCAAAATTAAGAAAAAATGTTGGGTAGGAAATTACTTATCAAAGTTTCACTCTCATCAATTAAAAGCAAATAAATCGTTGTCGTTTCAAATCACTTAAAAATTCTATACATTCCATTAATTCATCAACTATAATCACTTCTATTTATTGAATTTCATATAATTGAAAGACGTATAAAAAAATCCTCGAGTTTCTAATGTAAACTAGATGTCTTATAATGGTGTGAGATGTGCTTATTTGGTCTGCCTTTAATTGATTTTGTCCTGATGAAGCCTGCTATGGCAAAACTTCAGTGTTTTACGGACTAATTGAATGTATAAAAGTAAATTTTATTCTGAGATACCCAGTATCTATAAAATATCAAAAACGTAGGTTCCAGTAGGAATGTAGGTTCCAATAACATATAATGTATATGTATATATTTATTTATTGATTTATATTACAATCTGCCACTATTAAGGTCATTAGTGACAATGATAAAATGTGTGATGAATGAAAAAATTGATAGTATAAATAGAAATCTAACTAAATCGCACAAATAAACAATACTAGATACTCGAAGCTTTGTGTTTAGAATGTTCAAATTAAACGCTAACAATCAGGAGCAATTTTGGTGTCTATAAATGTTTTATTCATTCAAATTACAATATTGTTATTACATATCATGAAATATTCTGCTAATAAGAGATCTGAAATGAAAAAAACAAAGAATAGTACACACATATATATATATATATATATATATATATATATATATATATATATATATATATATATATATATATATATAACGAAAAAAAAATCCGTTTATTGGCTGGTAGCTACATAAATCGATTTAATTTTATTTTAAAATGAAGTGGAAAATGCTGTTAGTAATATAAGTTAATTTTTTTTAAGACTTCGATTTGTATTGTGAAGCTTAAGTTCAACAGAAACGTTCTTTTGGACTATGGTCAAATATATATATATATATATATATATATATATATATATATATATATATATATATTTTTCTTGTTTCGTTATTAAGAATAGGGCGGAATAACCAAATAAAATACCGAACAGCTGGTTTAGTACAACAAATAAAAAAAAAATAAGGGAGGAGAGAAAGATACGGTTTCGATCAGGGGCCTGATCCGCCCTATCCTAAAGAAAGGACTAATAGCCCAGTCAAATTAGACATTTTATCTTGCAAAAGATCGGATAATTCTCATTTCTTTTTTATATTGTCAGGTATGTAGTAAATATAAAAAATCGAACGTCCGCTCCTGAAAGGCTTGTGGGTTTGTTGCAGTAGAAGCGTTTCACTTCTTCACCGATATCTGGGATGGATTTTGTTACCAGCAGCTCCTTACATTAGCCAAGTCAAATTAACAAAAAAAAAAAGGAGTCTACCATACAAAAGGTTGGGTAATTGAAATTTATTATTTATATTGTTCGGTACATAGTGAATAATACTAATAATAATATTAATAGTGAATAATATTATTCAATATTCCATCTAAATGGAAGAGAATAATGCGGGAGGACACCAATGAGCAGTGGAATAGACGGTGGCTAACTACTCATAAAGGCTCTACCTTGAGGAAATACATCCCTACCGTCTATTCAAGGTTGGAAGCGAAATGGGTCCTTCCTGATTATCGGGTGTCGCAATTTCTGACAGAGCATGGGGGTTTTCGCGCCAAGCTTCATGGCTTTAGAAAGGAAATTAACCTCCTATGTCCCTGTTGTGGTGTTCCAGAAACTGCTGAGCGTTTCGTCACATCTTGCACCGCTTTTGAGACAATAAGGGCTGAACTACTGTGGGAAACCGGACTCTGTATCATCACGGACAACGATCTCCCTTAGCTAGTATGCAAGGATAACTACCCGTATTACGAAAAGTTCGTGTACGGATGGAAGGAATTAGTTGGGGTTGCTTATTTCAACCTCCACTAATCAAGAAGAGGGAAGAACGAAGAAAGAAAAAGTGGTACAAGTATTTTGCTCCTTCTTTCAAAAATCTATAGTGCCAAAAGGCAAGGAAAGATGATGATAAAATTTAAAAAAAGGTACATAGCGACTATAAACAATCCATGTTTCCGCCCTTTAAAGCCTTGCGGGTTGGTTGCAGTTGACCAAAAAAAAAAGAAGAAATTTCCAACATTTCTGGATTTACGCGAAATATCTCCTTAAACCTCTTCCAAAGCGATATAGATAAAAAATGATTATAGTCCACTTAAACAGCTTCAAATTATCTAACATTTTCGTACATAACTTTTTTTTCTAAACACAACTATCGAGCTTTCAAAATTTCCCCATTTCGATTTCTTCACAATTGTGTTATTCCAGTTTTGAATGAAAAGATCCTTTACTCCATTTTGAACCGCGTCCAGAGAATTTGGATGTTTTCTTTCAAGATAATGAGGGATTAACTGGAACGGTAGACAGTAATCGGGAGGTGTTTTAAAAACAATATTAAACGATGGGCCTGCCTTGCACCCTCCTCCTACATCCCAATAAATTGCATATAATTTCGTTCCTTGAAATTATTTGTCAAGAAAAAGTTAATGTTGCTACAAAAGAAAGTGAGCGCTCTGGCCTAAATTGGGCTCCAAAGATGGAGGATTGACTTTTTTGACTTGAGTTAGTTTTTCGGTCACTATGATACAGCAGTTGCCTTAATTTCCTCATAATTGATTAAATCTGCATAGTTAGACCGTAATAAAACATGTTAAATATAAATGACCATTATGATAAATATTAAAACATAATAAAAAAACACCAGTAAATTCAATTTTTTCAGGTCGTTCAAACTAAAGTTGAAAATCCATCGTCGTTTGTAAATAAACGGTCAACAATAGCGAAAAACGATTCGAAATAAAACATCTAGGAAATACATTTTTCTTTCAAAAACACTGATTATTTCTTAAAATATTTAAAACAGTTAGTTAGAAAATACACTTAATCGGCGGAAAAGTGGCACTGCCTTAGGCGACTAGGGTCCTCAGCCACATCATCCAATAATTATCCATAAATGGCATAATAACGTTTTTAATTCATTTTTTCCATTGTATTTAAGAACAAATACTAATACAATAATTTAATTATCTAAAAATATTATTATTTTATTTTTACTACCTTGTATACCACTATAACTATGCCATTTATGAATACTTCATTTCTAAGAACTTCATCGCATTTCACAAGTTGGCAGAAGTAATAGGATCAAGTTTGGGAACGTTTGAGAAGTTAACGCCCAACTCAAAAGTATGTATAAATTTCCTTTTACCTATTGGGAATGGACTAATCAGGTTAACAAAATTAATCAACCAAGTTTCTTCACTATGCTTAGTGTCCAGAAAGTACCTGTCATTTAAATAAAGGGTGTGGTTAGTTATCTTATTTATTTGGCATAATTGGCATAAAGAACGTAAATAATTATCATCACCTTCTTGGAAAATCTAAAAGATAAATGAAAGGTTTTGTGCATTCCTATGTGACCGTGTTCATGTTTTCAAATAAAGAATCGACTAAATTGCCTAGAACTAATATATTTGGCTTAATATTTGACAAGGAAAGGTAACGGTCATGGGGTTACTGATTTCAATGAAACTTTTTTTGGTGATATTAGGTCGACAAATATTTCACCTATCTTCGGAGGTTCTTGCCAATGCGCCGAGAAAAAAAAAATTGTTATTTATTTTAAGTTAATTTGTAGTAATTAGTTTTCATTATTTTTTATTAATTTTTTTTTAAATGTAAAGAATCCAAAAATGTTTAATATGGTTTGGAGAGCAGTACTTTAGCTAGGTTATAGAAAATTCTGAAGAGTTATGAATGCTTTACTAAACGCCATGAAAAAAAAAATTCCCCATAGAATCAAGTTCAAAAATTTATATTATTTTATTTCCAAACAAAATCGTATTTACTGGTTATAAGGGCGCTAGAATAAAAACATGCTCGAGATAATCCAATCTATCACCAACAAAATCAAATTTATCAACTCACGTTTCTTCTTCTTAGGTTTCTTTAAAATTTTAATGTGTATTTCCTAAAATTTCCGCGTAACTCAGGGTGGGGAGGGGGTTAATTGAAGTAGCGTCAACATAAACGTCCACAATTTCCTCTAACCTATTGGGGTATAGTTTAATATTTGTATAATAATTATATACGGCTCTCTCTTTGTTTAAAGTTACCTAATAAATACTTTTTTCAAAATCTGAAATAGTGAAATATGCTGAGTTGTGGCATTAGGTAACATATAATGTATCCATAGATCTTGCTCGTGATCTGATTGATTCCTGGCATTCAAATACCTTACATAGGTACATAATCTTACGCTATTTTCCTTTTTATTATCATAAACGATAGGTGGCTTATACATATAGAGCTTTAAATGGATATAATAATTGCCTAAGTATTTATGTATAAACATCCTATTGCAGAATAAAATTATAGAAATCATACGTCATTTTGTATAATGATTTTCTTAATTTATACTTTTAACATAGAAACAATTAAGAACTTTCTAAACACATTTTAATTCAAAATCTCTTTTAATAAAAGCGGCTCAGTGAGTGGTCGAAGAACGACAAAAAAAAAAAAAAAACCCTTTTTCAAGGTTTCCTGATAATTCATATTTCCTACATTTTTAATGAGGGACATTGGTAATTCACATATACCAACTGCAACGGGGTGTATAACAAAATTGGTTTCCATGGTTTTCAATAGAGTAATAAATAATAAAAAGGCCGTTATTACTAAATTAATTTTGCAACATGTTATATACCCTTAAAAATACTTTTGGTTTTTATTGAGTTCCGAAATTAATTTTTTATTGAAAAATGTGTAGCCATGAGTGAGTGATATTTGTTCGGAAATAAGTTATTTCTAAAAAAAAAATCGTATTTTCATTGGATAAGTTATTACTCAACATATACTGGAATTTCTTTTTTCAACGACCGTCAAGGTCTGTAATTAAAATTTTCTTTAAAGCCTATGCTAATAATGAATCCAAAACTCAACTGCGGTAACTAGTGGGTTTGGTATTTATCTGAAAAATTCAGTCAAGAAAGGTGTAAGAAAAACGGGCTAGATAAAAATCCTATCTATAAATCAATAAATTAAATAATAATATTTTATGGATAAAATCTTTCCTCATTATTATCATTGCCCTTAATTGTGATAGCGTCTAATATTAATCCATAAAAATATCTCTACCGTTAATAGAGAGTTTTGAAAGGGTTGACGCTATATTCATTTCTTAAGTGACGGATCTTTCATACATTTTCTAATAATACTAATTTAAAAAAAGGATAAGGACCCGAACAATAATATTCAGGCTCTGTTTTGAATTTATAAATAAACTCTCTGTATGAAATATATGAATCAATCAAGCGATCAATTAAATCTGTCGATTTATAAATCTAATATTTTATTAAATTTTAAAATATACAAATAACGATTTATTGCATAAAATTATATATATTTTATACAAAACAAATTATTACATAGAAATATATTTTAGTTAAAGAAGAATATATTGTGGTTAATGGTTAATAATATACATGCAGATCCCGTATATAATGCATACAACGAAAAATACGCAATAAGCCCAAATATTAAATCAATAATAATTATATTTAAAACAAAATTTTATTTGTATACATATAAAAAGAGTAATTTACGCACATAAAAATGGTATTTAATATACAATATATATGATAGTTTTAATTTGTTATTTTTTAATAGTTTCACTTACATTATTATAATTTTTTACAGCAATAAAAAATAAACTGGAATATCAACTAAATTTTAAGTAATAAAAAAATGTTGATATTGTTTCGAATTGGTCTCATATATATCTTGAATTTGAATGGTTAACATCCCTACCACAGGCTAATATGAGGAAAGGGTGGGGGATCAAATATGTCGGGGACCAAGAGTCGCCAGTCGAGGAGGGATAGGTGCGTGAGTGCAAGGCAAGATCCGAAGATGGAAGGCATGGGAGACTTCATGAGAGTTAACTTGGTCGAGACAGATAGAACTCCATCATACCAAGGCTTGCAGGCTGTTGGCAGGTATGAAAAAATTACATTTCTTATGTCCGACGAAGTGAAATATCAAGAATCACTGCTTGCAGACCTGGCAAAGGAAAAGGTAACTCTCGTAATTCGTGCCAGCAGGAACAACAATGACTTGAAAACATTGGAAAAATATGGCGTGACTCTCTTCAACATTCCATACAGGCGCTCATATTTGCCAAGAGAATCTTCCATGGATAAATTCCTTCAATTACTCCTCAAGATATTGTATGAAAACAAGCCTGTTGGAATTGTATTTCAGGTACGTACATTGGCTCCGTTCCTCATCGGATTTGCTATGATGGTGGTGGGAATACATAGAGAAGATTCTGTGGCTAAGATCCGGCAGCTTGGTGTGAACCCGAGTGAAATACAGCTGAGATACCTGCGGAGGAGGGAGATGGAATTGAAGCATCGCTATGTCCAGATGACATTCATCAGAAGAAGTGACAACCCTCTTGCTCGCATTTTTTATTACTTTGTGGACAAATTCTTCTGAACACTTGGATTCCTAAGTAAATGTAAGTTATCTCTAATATAACTTATTAAAATATAACATACCAAAATGCTTATTACTTTATTTTCAACAAATATAAGCAATCTACAGCATGAAAAAGGTGCATTTGTTTTTATTGAGATTTATTTTTAAAAGTTTTAAATGATTGAATACAGTAGTTTCTTCGCATAATGCATAATATTTTCTGTTATGGAAGACACAAGACTCCATTATTTGTTCTGACAATATTTTCATCAAATTTTGAATATAATTCACAAGTACAATAGTTAGTAGATATCTGTGAATGGTATATTGTTCGATTGTTTAGAACAGTAGCTATGTTATTACGCACTTGTAGGATAATTTTAAGTAGAGAATTCATTCTAATGTGATATCATGTTATGATATTTTGATAATAACTTAATAATTTCATAGTGATCATTTAATGTGTTCTTTCTCAACCTTTTTAATGTAATTCTGGCTTTTGTTCTTCAATATTTTCAATATATGAATCTGGAAAAAAAAGGTTTAAAGACAAAAGTGAGAGTAATAACTACTATTAATTATGTAATATTTAAATAATATTCTATACCATTTCACAACTGTAACCAAATATTTTTCATTAATATATATATATATATATATATTATAAAAGAAAAAACTAATTTTGTATAAATAGTGAACAGTAAAATTAATATTTATTTATTTTTATATTAATTTTTTTATTCTTATTTTGATGTAGTAATCAAATAAAGAAATGTAAAGCAGATCATGATTGTTTTTCACACTCATATTTTATATAAACTTTATGAATGGTATATTTTGTTTTTATTAAAATTTAATTCCAGATTAAAAAAAACATTTTAAAAATTAAACTATTGATTACATACAAATAATTCCATGTAATATGTATTTAATAATTATTGTATTTGAAAATAAATTTTTTTTTTAAATGTATGTGATTATGTTATTTTTTTCTCAACATTTTTCATATTTTTTCAATAGAATAATATAATAATCGGCCCTGAAGGAGAAGAAAATTCCTTGTTGCTAAGGATTTTTCCTAGCAACAACCTATAAATCACACTTTTACTATTTTAACCTATTTGAATGGAGTTAAAGGTAAGAAATTGGTTTGGAGATGTAAAAGAAAACTATTTACAACTTTGAAATATATTTAAATAAAAAGGAGGAGAACAGTTGGAGTTGGATATATGTTCACCTTTTAAAATTTTCTAACACAAAGTTAGCACTTTTTTAAACATATGTACTAACATCTCAGTGATGTTTTCACACAGAGACATCTATCTATATCCATCTACATTATAACTAACTAACTAACTAACTACTCTTAACTTAGATGTTAAAATATATTAGTGCTCCTCGCACTTGAAGGATTTCAGATTATTTATATCATGGACAGTAAATTAAATATTCAATTAAATCAATATAATTCAAACTTGAAAAAAAAAAGTCTGCTACCATTGTTAATGGATGCATAACAAAATATTCATACGTTATGTATCGATTTAAAATGGTAGCAGATTTTTTTTTTTTTAGTTTGAATTTAATTGGTATTTAATTTAGCGTAAAAGGATATATATTAATTAACACTTGTTTAATAATAACAAATATTAAATATTAATAATAATAATTACACATATTACTAATAATTAAACTCGACTACGATTATGTTATTTACAATTTTATGAGATGGTTTTTTCATCCTATCATATTAAATAAAAAAAGTGAATTATTGGCTATTTATTTCTTCACCGTCAATTTAAAAATAAAAATTTTATCTAGCTTTCTATCATTATCAATGCAATAAAAACGCGACTAATTAAATACATTGAGTTAAAAAACTTCTAAATACAATATCCCATTGTCACATATTTACTGCTAATTTTTCATTTGAGGGCTATTACAGAGGCTGGAAATATTTATAAGAGTCATAGGATCCCTCTACAGCTACAGCTACAGCTACAGCTACAGCTACAGCTACAGCTACAAAAAAGTTTATACAATTCAAACATTGCTCAGATACATATTACAGAAAAGTAGGATATTTAACTTTTTTTTTTTTTTTTATGAATAGAAAGCGATAACTGAAGAAATATTTAATTTAAATTATAAACAATTAATTCAATATTTAATGTTGGCCAGGTGAATGTAGATACAAGACCTATTTAGATAAATAGCTCATATATATATATATATATATATAGAATGCCTATAGATATAGAAAGATATCACCTCTATAAATTTATAATACTTGCTGTCCTTAAACATGAAATAATAGTCAGTTAACGCATAACATTAGCAATTACTTGTTGTAAATAGACAAAATTTACTTAAAATGAAAATCGGGTTTGCCATTGTTAAAACCATTCAAGAAGGAATTTTGAGCAGCTAAATACAGCTAAGTTCTGTTTTTAAAAATTAAAAATTATTCGTGATCTAGTTTACAGCAAAGTAATTATTAATTATTAAAATTAAGCATTTCTTTATTTATCGCTTCATATTCAACGAAAAACACATTCAACAAAAGACTTACTTAATAAAACACAAAACCGAAATATCCTACCTTTCTGTCGAATATCGGAACAATGTTTATATCAACTTTTTTGTAGATGTTGAGGTCTGTTATCGTTGCTATTAATACTTGCCTCTACTTACGGCTCACCCTCTATAATGGCCCTCAAATGAAATATTGGCAGTAAAATGTGACAATGGGAAAATATCTTTTTAAGTTTCTTTAATTTAATGTGATTAATTAATAATGATGTATATAAGTTATAATTGATCTAGCTTTTGAATGGCTGGAAATAAGGTATTAAACATTTTTGAAAAAAAATTTATGTTCAACAACGTTTTCGCTCATGACTTTTTTTGTAAAATGAAAAGATAAAAAGTTAGCTAGTCAAAGAATGATAAAAATGAGTAGCAAAATATTGTTTGAAATTAGTGAATTATGAGGGAATTCGAATACAACCAATTGTGTTGGAAATTTAGGCAGCATTAATTTTACATAGAGCATGATGATCGCGATAACGCATAGTTTCACTGATATAAGTGGAAAATCGAAAAAAGTGAGCTTTTTGAATCGCAAATTCAAATTTTCGACTTGAGATCATCGGGTATGGTGTAACTGACTATTATTTCATGTTCGAGGACAGCGAATATTATAAATTTAAAGGGTTGGCAGCTATAGGCTTTCTATATATGTCAGTTATCAATCTATACAGGCTCTGTATCTACATTAACCTAGCCGCCATTTTGTATTCCAAATGATAAATGCTGACAGAGGTGCATTTTTCACATGAGACCTGTGAAGATGATCAATTGATAAGGTCAAATCTTAGCGTAAAGCCAAATCTTATCTTTTTGCCATTGGCCGTTGGATAGTGTTGCCCAAATCCGAGACCAAGACAAGTGTTGCAGTTACCTATTAGCTTATTTGTACAAAGATATAACTGTAATTTTTTAGGTAACAGATACGTATCTAAACCCGTATGAAAAATTGGAAGAGTTAAATGAAAAAGTATATTAGTTATACCAATTCTTTACATATAGTAACTAAAATTTTCAACTATTAGTAACTATTTTGCCTTAATTTGTATTCACATTACAAGTTTCTTTTACCACTCTTGGTCTTGGTCTTGCAGTTTGGGCACCGATTTTGGGCAACACTACTGTTGGACTATCAAGGGTTGTAGTGGTATAGGTTTTTTCTTTCTTTCATTCATCTTAGAATACAAATTTCTCCAGAATTTAGTTAATATTGGTTTAACCTGGTATAGAAAACATAGAGGTAGTGGAATGAGGTTAATGACGTTGGCTAACGTTTTATTAAAGTTGTATTGTAAAATATGAAATGAAAAATTATAAAATATAAGTATATAAGGATGATGTGGTACTGAGCGGAGGTAAGTTGTATAGGATTGGCTTGTTATGTCCAAGTTGGGCGACCACCTGTTGCAGGAACCTTCCTCACCAGCAACAGTTTGCTTTTGATCCCGATTAGGAGCTAACTCCTTTAAATAATTTATGATGACTATATCTTGTAGTTGGCTCTATTTATTTTATTACATTCTTTTGTCAAGTGAATATATTTTTTTTAATATTCACTATGGAGAATAAGTTATAGAGAGGATAGATATTCCAGATGACTATTTGGAGAAGTCTGTATGCAAAGGAAAACGTTAGTAAGAACATTTTTCACTTGACAACAAGAAGGATCGTACCCACTTTATAGAGACTGAGTGTGCCATATAGTTGATAGTTGCCTAGAGCTCTTGAATTAAAAATAATGCTCTATCAATTAATTGAGTACAACTATGAATAGCTTAGTACTTAAATAATTATGCAAATAGCCAAAGACAGTTCAGTCCCTTTTTCTCCTCTGTTTCTCAGCCGATTTTATTTTTTCTTATTTTGTCTAGTATCTGGTGGAAGAGCTTTAGTGTTAATAAATAACAATAAATTAAAAAATTGGAAATATTGTATATAAATAAAAATATAAATACTAGTTATTCAAAACAGCTTATCTCTGGAAGTGCTTCACCGATTGCTTTGCAATTTCCATACTACGTTGCAATTAAATTCAGGAATATTTGTATGCAAATTTCATTACCTTCCACCATTTCGCTTGGAATTGACGGCTGAAAAACGTGTGTCGCTTTAGACGGTAGCGCCGATTTTAATGTATCTTGGCTCTAAAGTATTTTCCTTGAAAACTTTTTAATTTATTTATACAATATACTTTCTCGAAAACAAGCTGCAAAAAATGTTACGATGAAATCAGAATTTTATTTGCGAATATTTCAAAAGGTACACAATTTTTTATGGATTATACCCGTATTTATTTGAAAGTTTTCTAAATTCCCTACTTAATGAAAAAAAAAAACCATTGAAATTAAAAATAACCATATCTGATGAGATATTTAATTGCATTTTTTTCTTTTACATTTTCTTCGGTTTACATTTTAGCGAGTACTCTATTGTGATTGATTATGTTTAAAATATAGCTATAACATAAGTGCAATATTGAAATGAAATAATTTGCACAGCACAAAACATAGGTAAAAACAAAAAAAATTGAATTACAATAAAAAAAAAAATACTACTTATTTAAAGTTTAAATAAAATTTTGTAGCGAGTCATAAAAAAAAACAAAAAAAAACAAACAAAAAAACACTAGATATGTCTGTATAATAGAAATCTCAAAAGAAATTAATTGAAACCGATGGTCATTGAGTTTACAAAAAAAGTTCAATTTTACAAAAATTGAAGTTTATAAAAAAAATTAGAACAAGACATTTTATATAAAAACCGTTATAAAAAGTTCCTGCTAAAAAAAGCTCGAAAATAGATATGAAAGGAACAATCCAAACTAATAAAGCGAGTTTCTAACCTACAAGTGAACATTTGACCTGCCAACGTTTGGCCAATTGAGGCATCAGGAGGGAAGAAACGAGAATAAGCAACT